CATGTCGGATGAAATTTGGTCAATTAGATGAGTGTGGAAACTGAGTTTTGTCCATTTTGCATTAAATGTTGTAAATATGAGTTTTTTTTTTTTATTTACTTGTTTGGCTAGTTCTCATTCATATTACTGCAAATAAGATGTCAATATAACTTTTTCAGGCAGTCTGAGTTCTTGGGTCAGCTAGTATGCACTGAAAAGACTCAGATTTTGCTGTCCAACAGTGGAGGGAATGAAGTAAAAGTTGGAGCCTTGGTTTTTTAAGGAATTTACTCAAGGCAATATTATCTGTATTATTTAAACGAGTGTCGGGTTTGAGGCATAAACACAAGCTAAGTACTATAGGTAAGCTGGTTTAAGCTAGGCGTTGTGTCAGAGTGATATAAAATTGGGAAAACTGTTTACTCCTTACTTTGTCAAAGATGGAGCCTCTATGGAAGCTAATGTTTTTGCTTGAACCCGCTCCAGTCTCTCTCATTTTGACTGCAATACTTGTTTCATATTGTTCTGCATTTCGAGCTCTAAACTATGGGAAGGAAATGGAGCGAAACCGTGATTTATCAGAAGCATCAATCACTTTAGACAGGTCTCAGGCCCTTATGATACCCATAATGAGCTCTTGCAGCTTGCTTTTGATGTTCTATTTGTTCTCTTCCGTGTCTCAACTTCTCACAGCTTTCACTGCCGTTGCCTCAGCATCATCGCTGTACTTTTGTCTGTCGCCATACTTTGCTCAAATTAAGTCTCAGTTTGGTTTATCTGACCCCTATGTATCCAGATGCTGTTCCAAATCATTTACCCGCATCCAAGCATTTCTGACATTTATGTGTGTTGGCATAGTTGTAGCATGGCTTGTCTCTGGGCATTGGATATTGAATAATTTGTTGGGGATCTCTCTTTGTATTGCTTTTGTGAGCCATGTGCGCCTTCCAAATATCAAGATTTGTGCAGTGCTCCTGCTGTGTCTGTTTGTGTATGACATATTTTGGGTATTTTATTCCGAGAGATTTTTTGGAGCAAATGTGATGGTTTCAGTAGCAACACAACAGGCATCAAATCCCGTACACACTGTTGCTAATAGCTTGAGTCTTCCCGGGTTGCAGTTGATTACAAAGAAACTGGAGTTGCCTGTCAAAATTGTCTTTCCCAGGAATTTGTTAGGTGGTGTAGTTCCAGGAAATGCTGCTGCTGACTTCATGATGCTTGGTCTTGGAGACATGGTAATGAGCACTTCTACATTGATTTAAAAAATTCTGTTTCTGAAACCCACAACTTTAGCTGCCTATATTTACTTTATTTTTTCTCCCATTTTTTCTTCTGGGATTTTTGCAAACATAATAATTGATCATTCTCATATGTAGCTGTAGTGAAGAAATAAGGTTCCGACATCAGGAGAACATAAAAATTGTTTCACTTGTCTCTAGGTCTATGGCAGAAATGAATTCTACTTCTATAAATTAATAGACAAGCCATGACATAAAATAGAATAATCTACTAATCTTTTTATGATGAGCTTTTTCTCATGCTTGTGCACCTGCATATTCTGGCGGTTGGTAGCTTCTCTTTTGTTGCTTTGATAGCGACGGGTGCTTTGTCTATACAACTGGTTTATACTTTATCACTTTACCCAAGTGATTATTTAATTTCACTGTTGTAGTTTAATCAATGATGTGTGTGATCATATTTTATAGATAACAAGGTAAGAGTGTACAATTATATAATTTATTTTTAATGTCATGCCCTACTCAGAGTAGGCAAACCGGAAGTCCATTATAACGGCAGTATATAACATCAATCATACTTCATCAACTAGTAAGCCTGCACGTACATGATTTTACTCCAAATCTAGATCAAAGGGTTATATTTCCTAGCTCGGCTAAATGATATTCCTTTCTTGAAGCATTTGGGACACTTAACCAACAATGATTGCATATGTAAGAGAGTTTGTGATTAGTCCAATAGATATGATTATGCTGATAATCTTTTTTTCCATTAGATTTGGGCAGTCCATTACACATCGAAGTTGGGTGATGGATATCAATCTGTTGCTCTTCTTTTATCTATTGTTTGTGAATTCGTTTTCTTCTGGTACCTGTGTATTGCTTGTTTTTTGCTGGATGTTCAAATGTCTGGTTAATGGGATGTCTCAATTTCACTTCTGATGTTCCTTTCCATACTTTTTGCTTGAGGGTGGAGGGAAGAGCTTCTACTTTTAGACCTTGAGAAACACTGGCTAGATTCATCTTCGCAATAACCCAATGTTCACAGTTTTCCTTTTTCTCCTTTTATGTGGTCTTGTATGTCTTTAGTTTAAGATATTTCAATGTAATTCAAGTGTGCATAGTGTCCTAAGGCAAGAATATCGCAGAAGTACTTGAAAGCCTCGAAGTGAACTTAGATTACTTGAAAACTGAACTTGTTTGGATGGTTACAAATGAGGCCCCTTTAGGGGTATTTATACTTATTCCACCTCCTCAATGGAGGATGGAGATCTATTTGATCCTATGGTTAAGAATTGTTCTCTAGAATCCTCTATAATTCTCTACAAAACCAAGAGGATTCTCTAATGTTCTAGAATATTCTTAAGGCATCCCTACATCTTCTAGTGTTATGTACCTGCTTCTAAACTATTCTACAAGCTAAGGGATGATATGTACAAGTGCTAGAAAATTCTAGAGTGTCGTAGCAAACCTCGGAATCTCGTAGAGATGCTATCCGGGCGCTACAATAGTCTACAATGAGTTTACTAAAAATTAGGCCCGGAAGATGATTGGAAAGTGGCACTCTATCATTACATTTTTGTTAATATGCAATTCTGTTTCAGGCCATTCCTTCTATGCTTTTAGCATTGGTTCTTTGCTTTGACCATCGAAAGAGCAGGGAGTCTGTGCCTCCTTCCAAGGGTGATGGCTCGTCTTCAAAAGGTTTCAAGTACATATGGTATGCTCTAACAGGGTATTCACTTGGACTGATTTCAGCCTTGGCTGCCGGCATCTTGACACGCTCACCTCAACCAGCACTCCTATACTTGGTATATTAACGAAAGCCTTTTAGCTCTTGCTTCATTAAACAATATCAACCTCCAATCCTAACTCCATAATTTCTCGATTTCCAATTAAGTACTCTGTAAATTCGTCGTGTGTTTGATGAACTCAGGTACCGTCTACCCTGGGACCAGTTATTGTCATTTCCTGGATGAGAAGGGAGCTAGCAGAGCTGTGGGAGGGCTCAGTTCCAAACATAAATGAGAAAACTCATTTTACAGAAGTATGAAGCTCATTTCCTTGGGAACACTTCATTTCGACAGAGCTTGCCTTTGTAGATTTAGTTGGGATTCATAATCCCTGACCTGCCTGGATAATTTGTTAATACGAAAATCATCATTTTGTTTTGTATTAAGTACTAATGAAGCAGTATATTTCAGAGAGGGTTACAGCTCTGTTTTCCAGACTTAAATTACAAAATGTTACTTTGTTCCACCCGGTTTCTGAATTTTCATCTTGGGAAATCCCATACTTTTCCATTTATGACTTAGGAGAGCATACAGATTAGTGGATTTTGCTTAGTTTTTGAGGTTAACATTGGTGATGTGGAGAAAGAGAGAAAATTTGGGGATGTTCGGTGGTTTTTTGTAGGACCTATAGGAGAGAGAAAATAAAAAAGAGGCTCAGTTTTTGCGTGTTTGTTGGCGCGTCAAGAGGTTTTTTTTTTTTCCTGCTATGAAGGGTTAGATTTTTTTTTTTTTTTTTTTCCTTCTTCTCTTCCTTATCTCTATCCTAATTGATGCATCAAAAAATCAAAAATCACATAAAAATCACCTACTATTGAGGATGTCTTGGAGTGTTTTCAATAGTTTAGAATGAAAAATAAATGGATTGTTTTTAAAAAGTTTATAATTTAATAATTCTTTAAAAATTCATGATTGTGATTAGTCGCCCCTTCTTTATTGAAGAAGGTAATAGCAACTCCCCTACCTAATAATAATCATAACGACAAAGGTGATTGCAACTCGCCTACCTAATAATAATAAGGGGTGTTTGGTTCACGAAATGTTAGATTACTGGGAATAATAAATTTTTGTGTTTAGTTAAAATTGAGGTATGTAATATAATCATATTTGATTTAGGGTTATCTTTTATTTTATATATATATATATATATATATATATATATATATATATATATAAAAGATAACATAAAATATATATTTTTAAATAATTAGAATTAAAATAGAAAAATTTGTAAATATCCAAGGTTATCTTACATAACCTAAGAAAATAAAGGCAATCACATTTCCTTCAAAATCCTACGATTTTTCAACTTGGTCAAGTTAACTACCCATGGATCATGGTTAAAGTAATTATTTGAAAATTTAGCTTAAAACGTAGCAAAATCCTAGTCGGAGAACCCTAAATGGTATTAATTAACTCTAATAATAATGATCGATTCTTAAGCTTCGATACAATAAGAGTATTTGGACCCTTTTCTCAATTTATAACACTAGCAAGATACTTTGAGCTATTTTACACTTCATTTTAAAGTTTTTCTCATTAAAACAATTTTACTTCCATAGATACAAAGCAGGCAACTAGAAGTGGTGGCTTACTATTCTGTGTATTATAAACAAAATATTAAGAAATGTGGGCATCTAGAAATGGTGGCTTACTATTCTGTGTATTTTACTTGGTGGCTATTTTTCACTTCATTTTAACCATAAAGTTTTTCTCATAAAAAACAATTTTACTTGAATAGCTACAAAGCAGCCAAGTAGAAATAGTCTGTGTTTTCCTTCAAAAAAAAAAAAAAAAAGAAATAGTCTGTGTTTCATAAACAAAATATTATCAAGAAATGCAGCAAACAAATAGAAATGGTGGCTTATTATTCTATGTTTTATGTAGACAATTAACTCCCCAGATACGACTGTGTTTCAGTATAATCAAATGCAACAAAGTTTATGGAGTTGGCACGGTTATAAATTAAAGTTTATGAATTTGTAGAGGCTAATAGCACAATGCAAAAATTAGATTCAAAAAGGTTGGTCTTAAAACATAATAATAACTTGAGTTTGTGAAACATTAAAAACCAAACTTTTCTAGTCACATTCAATCTCTAAAAACAAACAAAGTAGGCTGGCAAAACTCAATGTTATCAACTAAATAAAAATTCTTCGGTAGCAAAAGATTACAACAGAAGTGATCACTTCTTCTTTTCACCACCTCCACCAGCCCTACAAAATAGTACACAAACAACAATGTTAGCTTCAAGAACTACCGTGTTACCAACAACATTAGCTTAAACATTTCTGAACCAAAACATTACCTCATCTTGCGGAGAACGCTTGACATCTCCTCTCTCTTCTTCTTTGCCCTCTTGTGAGTGCCCAGCTTTCTCTTGGCCACCTTAAGTGCACGCTTGTCCTTTCCAACTTTGAGAAGCTCAGTAATCCTCTTCTCATATGGGGCAAATCCAGCAACCTCCCTGATAAGGCTCCTCACAAAGAGCACCCTTTTGCTTGTTTTCTGAACCATGCAAAAAATAACAAGAAAAAAAAATGAACATCTAATATGAACACCATTTAAGTGCAATGAGACTCAAAAGTCAAAACATAATTGTATGTGCATGATATTGAACTCAAAAACACGTGATAGGCAGAAATCTTGGTAAATGATCCAAGGTCACTAATTTAAAGGAAAAACTGGCATTCATTCTCCAGCAAAGCTAAAGAAAACACAGTTTCATGAAATATTAAGTTCAGCATATGATATTCCACTATACGCTCCTAAACAACAACCAGTCTAGAAGTCCCTTTACAAGTTCATGTAAACATTACACCAAATATCAGACAGAATATGATTTGCAGCAGAGACGTATGTTTCAGAAAATGCAAAGAAATCACATGGTTTAAAAATTTCTAAACATACTCCTTCATTGATGTGTTCAAGCTAAATACTACATTTCTAGTACTAAATCCAATCACCACAAACTTCAATAGATTAATACAGAAAATTAAGCGAATATACATAAAATCAACAGTTAAACTAGGGAGCGAAAGTGCAAAACTTACGCCTTTTCTGTCAGAAGGGCGTGGGGCTAGCTCCTTCTTGGTCACAACATGGCCTCTGTTAAGCCCCACAAATAACCCAGAATTCTGCTGCTTTGGAGCCATCACTACAATCAACCAAACACACCATTAATATTACACCACAAACATTCTACGCGATAAATACATAAACTTGTGCTCTAGCATATACAACACCTCTATACAATAATCACCATCACTCAATCGATAAAGCATTTGCATAATCATTCTACATATAACATACGAGTATACAGGTATAGAGAGTGAGAGCGAAACCCTAGAGGAGATTAGAGAAAGCTGGAAGGAGAGAGTTACCTCGTTCGAGCTGCTTCGGCAATGGGCAGACGCAGGTGTTGAATGAAGATCTAGGGTTTGGGTGCTAGCTTTATATTATATCAGGGTTAAAATGGGGAGCTGATTGGGCTTTTCATGGACTGGGCCATATGGGCCAAATGCATGGTACCTCACTTCTTTGAATTGGGCTGGAGATTTTAAATTTATTCAAACAAACGCCCATTTTAAGCTTTTCATCAACCTTCCATTTTATGATACTAGTATTTGTCCCGTGCGATGCACGAAAAATATGTTATAAAAATATACTATATATGAGGTTTATTTATATATAAAATTTTTGTTATTTAATAATTATTATGTGTGAATTTCTATGATAAAATTATGAACATAAATATATTTACAATTAAAATAATTTTTAAGGCGGGTGATTACTACAAATCTTAAACTATATTAAAAATTTAGTACATAGTATTTAATATTACAAATTTTTAAGAACTTAGTAAACTACAATAGTAATTGAATTACAATTTTAGAGTCACCACGGATCAAAATTTTTAGACCTTTGAGATTTCTAACTCTAGATGTAGCAACATACAATTGATCTTTAAAGACCAAAATCACAATCTTAGTTCGAACATTGATTTTTTCTTCCAAATCCTATCGAATTAAGTGTGTAATCAATAAAAGATGAGAACTAATAATTTGAGAATATAATCTTAATGTTACTAAGCCATTTCACGTCAATTAAGTTGGAGAGTGTTGTTGGATAGTATCCGATGAATTCACGAATAACGCATCTTTGTCTCCGTAGTCCTCAATATGCACATCAACAATCTTAAATATTAGGTCGTCTACCTATGCCATATATTAATTTCAAACTTATGAACTTTGGGGTTGCATGCAATAAAAAGTATATTTTAAATATACTAAGGGTACATTATATATATATATATATATATATGTAAGGTACTTTTAGTATAAAAATAATGTATTTTTAATATATTAAAAATGTATTTGATATTCATGATCCATACAATTATGTGGATCATCGTTCCTCACAATAATTTGCCAGTAGAAATTGAAATATAAATAAATATAATAAATAAATAAATAAGTAAATATATATATATATATATATATATATATATATATATATATATATGAAACTGTCCGTGAAAATTATTATCATTATTATTATTATTGCAATTATTATTATTATTATTATTATTATTATTATTATTGTTATTATAATTAACAATATTATTATGATTTTGTGAAAATTAAATGTTATATTATCAACATTTAATTTTCACAATAACAATATTATTATGGTCTTGTGAAAATTAAATGTTGATTATCACCATTTAATTTTCACAAGACCATATGACTTTATTATATATAGGATTTTTGCCCTTTAATTCGACTTACTTATGTTCATGGACGGCAAATTTTTATGTGAATCACAGTTCATACAACTGTGTTAATCATAAATATGAGGTACATTTTTAATATATTAAATATATACATTATACATAATTATATCTTTTTAGTACTCAAATAATGTATTTTACGTATTGTACTTTTAATATATCAAAAATATTTTTTTTATTTATAATCCACATATCTGTGTAAACCATGATTCATGTAAGGCTAACTACATTAGTGATTTTTTCACATTTTTGTTTAGACAAACAAGGTTTATGTAGATGAGAGGGGGGGGGGGGGGGGGGGGGGGGGGATTGAATTATTGAAAGATCATTTTTTGGGTCTTCCTGCCAATGGTTATTTTTATGGGACCCGTATGAGAGAGAAAATGGATGAGAAATGCAATTGTGTGTGCGTGTGCTGCACATATCGCGCCCAAAAACCTTAGTATTGGGTTTCTCCAAGTCATTTTTAGTCATTTGAATTTTGTAAATTTTTTAATATATAATTCCTTTGTTTTTTTTTTTCTTTTAAATCATCTTTCCATTATTATCCATTAATAATAAATCTCTTACGACTTTTTTTTTTTAGAGGATCTCTTACGACTTTTAGTCCGTCTAATAATTTTTCTGAGTAAATATTGCCTTAAACCGACATGCACATAACATGTGTTTAGAAACAAATAAAAAAAATAAAAAAAAAAATTCGTCAAAATGACTAAAAGTAGTAACAAACCACTATCAGTGACTATTGGTTAAAAAAAATGTTGTTCATAATTATATATAAGAAAAAGGGTCAAATACACCATTAGATTTTAGCTAATAAGTCAACTAGACCCTTCAATTTTTGAAAGTTGCAATTAGAGACATTAACATATTAATTTAGTGATCAAAGTCCAAAATCATAATAGTGACATGCAATAGCAGGTCAATGATGTATCGGCAAAGCTCCATCAACATTCTGGCAAGCGCGACCTTTTCCGTCAACCGAAATGGCCAATTCTAGTTGACTAGAAACTTTTTCCAGTTGATGGATATGCAGTCGGTTTGGTTGTCTGAAAAGGTCACATTTGTCGAAATGTTGTCAGAGCTCCGTCGTACTATATCATTATGTGCATACTGTAACGTTTATCCGTTACTATTATTATAACATTAGGATAAGTTATGATAATATTCAGTATTTGATATGTGGTGCAACACTAATAACCTAATAGCTAGACTACCATTATGATTAGGAGTCTAGTTAGGGTTTAGGAGACCTAAAGACAATCAACCACAATGATGGCCAGTGGTTATATAAGGTCACTAGTCCTCTCACTACTCACATTACATACCTCATACACCATCTAGAGAGAGCTGAGTAAAGTGAGAGACAAAATACTCGTTATCTCTGCAGCAGTTCGGATCGCTCAACCGTAACAGAAACTATGGCTGGAGGTTAGTCGATCCTATGATCACATATTCTTTGATGCATGTGATATTTTAGTCTAACAGTTGGTATCAGTCGCCATATATAATCTCTGTCTGGTTCGTTTCGTTTAATTGCATATATATAATATTTGCATATGTTGTATACGATTTTGTATAATTGAGATACATGTGTAAATATTCTTGAGTCCGCAATTAAATTTTCTGGACTGCTGAAAATAATATTTTCCGCATTAAGAAAAAAAATTTAAAAAAAAAATGGATATTTTATTTTGGCTTGGCTGCTGCTTCATCGTTGCTGCTATCCTTGCGTTAATGAAGAAGATGATGAATGATGGGCTTAAGGTTTTGGGCCAAGTCTGACCCAATTTGGCCAGACTTGGGCTCATATATATAAAAAAAAAAAAATTTGTGTTATTAAATCTGGGCCTGTTTTGGTATTGGGCCAAACCTGAATTGATATTTGGATTACATCAATTCATTCAGATTTACATCTTCATCATATTTGGACTTCTTCTAAATAAATTATCCAATTGAAATTTTTTTATTAAGTCTATTATTAAATTATTATTCAACTTTGAATAATTATTCAGTTTTAATTTTTCAGTTGAATTTTAATTTAATAATGTTTCAGATTAAATTGTATTAAGTGTTGCAATTTAATTGTGGAGTATTTTGTGAGTAATATGCATAATCTGAGCATGCTATGTATCTCTTTATTGCAATAATTATTTGACTGTTATAATTATATGCCTAGAAAAGCATGTTCATTAAGGATAAATTTAGAGCCTTTAGGTCTGAATTATATGCTGATTATGCATGATTTAGTACCTTTAGGTGAATTAGTGCCTTTCAGGTTAGATTATGCATATTATTACTCACTCTTCAGTCATTACTCCATTCGTGCTCTTATAAAGTTCCTAAAGCACATAAAGTACATAAATAATTTGTAGTTTACCCTATTTAAAGCCTTATCCATAGGTAAAACTACACTCTTTAGATCTTTCAAATGATTTTACTTCAAAAATGAGAACACATGAATTAGGGAAGTTTCTTGGGGAGGAATACTAGTTCTATGGCCCTGGCTTAAAAGCCTTGTTGCTACTAGTCCCCTTGCGACACTACTCTGTCTAAGGAGTTGGTTTTTAACCGAGCTTCGTCTCGACCAACTTTCCTGGGAGTATACCTAAGGATTGTCTATCATATTTTGGTTTAATCTGTTTGTTTATTAGGCTTTCTTGCTAATGTGATTATGTTCTTTGGTTAATTAAAGAGTAGCCACAGCATCTTTAATTTTCCAAAATTACATATTAAGTTTTACTCACATAAAGTTAATGCAAGAATATTGTAATTCACTCTGCGTGATATGGCAAAATTTAGCCCACAGGCAATTTTGTTATATTTGTAGGGTTAATTAGGATGAAATACCATACTATGATCATAATTTGCCCACAGGGATTATGTATCGGCATATAGTTTTGGTAGTTTTGTCATTAAGAGTGGAAAAATTAAAATCGCACCCATTCCGTTTCCACCATTCAGTTTTGGTAAATTCATTATGCGTAAAAATTTAGCCCACAGGCAATTTTTATGGCATCCGAATTTATCTTTTGCATAATTTTACATTGGTAATATTATGTACTTCAGTATCTCTCTCTAATTTTGTGCCTCGAAAATATTCTAACCAAGCTTTCATTTCTTTTACAGTCACTCTTCCAATCACTCAATCAATAACAATTGATATTCCTATCCTTAATTATGACAATCACAAAGAGTGGAAAGACGTTGTTTTATTGAATTTAGGAATATTGGGGTTTGATTATGCTCTTCGCAATGAGAAGCCTGCTGAGCTTACTGCGCAAAGCACTGAGGAACAAAAAACGTTATACGAGCGATGGGCAACAGCTAATCGTTTGGGCGTATTCCTCATTAAGTCCAAAATTGCCAGAGAAATTCGTGGTCCCGTCGATGAAGTTGAGGAAATTAAGTCATTACTCAAGGCCATCGATGATCAATTTGTTGACGCGAATAAATCTTTGGCAAGTACCCTGATAATGAAGTTTATCAATATGCGTCTTTCCACTGTCAAGGGAACGCGGAAACACATCATGGAACTCAGGGACATTGCGGCACAATTGAAGAAGTTGAAAATTATTCTTCCAGATGCCTTTGTGGTGCACTTTGCACTAAATACCCTATCTCAGGAATATAGCGCGTTTAAAATTGCCTAT